TTTGTGCAAATAGGTCCTATTTATAAAATTTGAACTAAAATGCCCTTAGCAACACATTTTAAAAAATAATAATAAAAAATAAAATAAAATAAAATAAAATTATGAAATGACTAAAAAGGGTTTAGCCCTTCTTCATTTTGGTGCCACTGTCAGGCTTCCTTCTGTTACAATGGGGACATGAATCCTATGCACTGTCATTAATTCTAAACATTTGGTTTTGCTTTGTGTTTGAATATTGGAATGACCAAATAGTATTATTCTATGTTAAACAACTCTGACATAGAACTAATCAACTAACTTTACTACTAAAAGAAATTATTTTAACAAGAAAAAAACTGAGGCGGAGTTTCATAAAAATTCAAGAAACCAAGATTACTTTTAAATAGAAAATATGCATGGCAATTCAACAGAATTAGTGAGATTAAACCGAAAGGTCAATTCACAAGAAATTCACCTGAATGCAGAAGCAAATAGGAGGAGAAATATAGGAGAAGCAGATTTACACTGCAATTAAAGAGTAGTTTGAAGCACTAAAGAACCGAGAACAATCCATATTCTCCACTGGGGATTAAAAAATAAATTCCAGAGAAGAAAAAAAAGTTTCATTCAAAGGAATCATCCAATTTCCCGCATCAGCCCGGAATTTTCAGTTCTCGCCGTGAGCCCATCGCCATCGTGGAACCTCTTTCTGAGTGTCTGTGGTCATTTATTATACAACAAATCCTGGAGATTTTCCTATTTTCATGCTCTAGATCGGTTCTGGTACAATCTACTCAATTTATATAGCTGTTGCCTTGTGGTCTTCTGTGGTTGTGTTAGGATTGATCCCCTTTATGCAGTACAAAGAGATAATTATCTTTCAAATATATATATATATATATATATATATATATACAAAGAAACAATTAACATTAATAACAACTTTTGCCCTCCAAAATGGTCTAATTACAGCATTCCTACCAAACCTTGACATGGTATATTCCACTCCTCTTGTACAGTATTTCAAGTACTCTATGTAAGTTATAAGTTACTGGTGATTTTGTATTTATAAGGTTTCGGTTGGTTAGATAAAAATAATAAATATATATATATTTATATATATATATATATATATATATTTATATAGTTTAGTTAGATAGAAACATTAAGAAAAGAAAATAAATGGAAAATGAAAAGAAATTCTCATATCTAAGGCTCGTCTAATGTATGCAAAAATGGAGCTACACCCGCAACCAATTTAGTATCTTTTCTTGTTTTGAATATTGAAAAGTTAAAAAAAAAAAAATCACACCTGAGTCTAAATACCAAGCCTGGATTCTTAAGAGCCATTAGTTTTGATCTTTACTTCTTTTAACATATTTTTAAAATAAAAAATATTCTTTTTCGTTTTTTGAATCTCTTGTCCTGAAGGGTTGTTTGTTTTCATTATATATTATTTTATATAATGTCTTGACCCCATTTTTTGGTTTGTTTCCTTCGTGGATCTACCTTCACCCCATTTTTTCTTTTCCTTAAAATATGGCTCAATTTTGGGGCTTTTTATCTTTTTATTATTATTATTATTATTTTTTGCAGAATGCAAACGCGATTCTTTCACTCAGTCATGTCCACCCCATCCTCTCTTCTCTTAGTTCTCTCACTCTGCACTTTTTTTTTTCTTTTTTCCCTGATTTCATATTGTATGATTTTGAGCACTGCATCTCAAGGATCTCGATCGATTAAAGTTTAATATTAATTGAATAATTTCTAATATATATTATATATATATCAAAGTCAAATTGCACTCATTCATAACTCATTGGTTTTTTGTTTCAAGCAGAAGTTTGCGATTGAACTATGACTACTGATTTCCCAACTATGGTGACGATAAATGAAAAAGATACAACGATGGGGACCATTAGATTTAGATAGACAAATACCAGTTTTGTTTTCATATTTAAAAATTATCTCACTTTACATTTTGATTTTTCTGATCTATCTATGATTTTTGGCATACTGCATCTAAAAAATCACAACAGACTGAGATATATCTCTCTTCGTTTTTCAATCACTCAAAGTGCAATATTATTTTTCAAAAGTAATAAAAAATCAAATTGCTCTCTTTTAAGGACCGAATAGCAGAATATATAATCAATTTTCACCAATTTTCAAAAATATAATTTTGTTTGAGGATTGTGGTATTTTTTTTTTTTCGTAAGCAAGCATTAATTTGTGCTATTAGTACATGAATTTTTTATTCATTTATAAACTAAAGTGTTTATTTTTTTAAATTGAATGTTCTCTAATTTTTGACTTAATCTTATTTGTGTTTTTAAGGGGTTAGGGCTTTTTTTTTGAAAGATCAAATTTTATAAAAAAGAGGACCAACCAAAGGCTAGCCCAATGCTAATCAATGCGGCCGAACAATACAGCCCAAGTTTACAGCCTTTAAGACAGACTAACTGCCAAACAAACATTACAGCCCAATTACATCCCGAAGAGAAGTGACCTGAGGCCAAACAACAAGCCCACAAGCCCAACGTTGAGTCAAGAAGACCGTTGTAGGCAAACTCTGCTGCGAGGCACATGGAGAAGATCTCCTCAATCACGAACATTGTTGTCAGGTGGTTTCGCCGGAGGTCTTATTGACAAAATCTTCTTGACAAAATTTTACCTTAAATATATTTTTGTATAAATATAATGAATAGTCTTATGAAAAAAAAAAAAAAAAACTTTGAATAAACACGTTTGTTTTATGCTAGTGCATCATTGGTTTCAGCCAATCATTTTAGCAGTTACACAAAATGTTAAATAAACACGTTTGTTTAAATGGCAAATAGTGATTGGTCCAAGATCATGCAATAGTTTCTCAAGTACGTTATTTTCTTTAATATCAACTAACTTTCTGAAAAGAAAAAAAAAATGAATGAATAAAATAATTAACTCTACAAGTGTCCCAAAATGTTTTTTTTTTCTTCAAATATTTAATATAGGAAAAAGAGAAAATATATTTCCATTCCATTTTTATTCAAATAAAATGGGTATTGGGAAGTAGAGTATCAACTAGCCTCAAGGGAATATCCTAAAAAAAAAAAAAAAAAAAAAGGATAGAGTATCAACTCAAAAATTTTGGTTCATTATAAGTATTTGACATTATGATACCCTAGCAATTAGGAAGCTTAAAATGCCCTCAAATTTTTATTAATATGCCGTGCTTGCATCTTCTACTAAATAATAGACCTAAATATATTATGCTACTAATTTTCTGGATAAAAGATTTTTAGGTATATTGTTTACCTTAACTTCAACGTTTGTATTTTTGTAAAATATTTTAGGGTTTTAGAGTTCAATTTGATGTTAAAGTTTGAGTTAAGGGTTTTAGAATTTTAAAATTACTTCTTATGGCATAAGTTAGGTTTACAAACTTTGGTCTTAATTAGTGTTTGTATTATAAACAAAGGTTTTAGAGTTCAATTTAATATTATAGTTTGAATTTAGGGCTTTAGAATTTTGAGACTATTCCTTGTGACATAAGATAGGTTCACAAACTTAGGTCTTCATGATCTATATTTTTTTTTGTTGAAATTTTAGTATCGGTTTTCTTTTTTGCTTCTTTAAAAATTTAAATAAATGCGTACATATCCATAATATTTCATCTAAGTAGGATTGGAACACGTAACTTCTTTTTTTAGTAGGAGATAGCATACCATGAGTTTGAACCATTTAACATAAGAAATACAGTTAAAATATATATATATATATATATATATATATATATATATCCTAATCTTAGAGTAGATGTGTCAAAATGAGCTTCCTTTAGCAGTGAAGGACCACTGTAACCCATCCGCCACCTCCTCATTTAGTTACACTAGGTAGTTCTCAGTTGACAACTCGACTGCCATGCTAAAGCTCACTAATTTATGTCGGGGTATTTTTACACAATATAAAAAATTTAAGAATGTTTATATCTTTTTAAATAAAGGATAAAAGTGCTAAGTAAAGTATACGTTAAGGGTGTTTTATGTTTTTGTCCCTTACTTACGGTGAGTGAGTGAAAACTAACAATAATTATTCGTTTATGCAATTTAATTAGAATTTTCTTACTGTGAATTGTGATTGTCTACTGCTCATATACCCCAACAAAAATCAAATTTTGAAAACGTTAAAAAAAAAAATCAAATTTTGAATCAAATAGGAATCCCAAATATGCACTTTAGTGCTCGATTTCTTAGGTCTTCATCCTTATGATACAAAAACTTTTAGTATTTAATTTTTTTTTTCTTTATTTAAATGTTCAAGCCAACTCATACACGTACACTTATAATATTACACCGAACACTTAATTTTTTCTTGAGTAGGAGAGATCATATAATTATTCGTTTATGCAATTTAATTAGAATTTTCTTACTGTGAATTGTGATTGTCTACTGCTCATATACCCCAACAAAAATCAAATTTTGAAAACGTTAAAAAAAAAAATCAAATTTTGAATCAAATAGGAATCCCAAATATGCACTTTAGTGCTCGATTTCTTAGGTCTTCATCCTTATGATACAAAAACTTTTAGTATTTAATTTTTTTTTTCTTTATTTAAATGTTCAAGCCAACTCATACACGTACACTTATAATATTACACCGAACACTTAATTTTTTCTTGAGTAGGAGAGATCATACTATCTCGATCAATGCTCATTATTGAGTTTTAGCAGTTTAACATAAGAAATAGAGTAAAAATACTGAAGGGCTAATCAAAAGTCAAGTCAGTTCCATTCAATCCCCATCCAACACATGTAACATGCTGGATAGATATAACCCACCTCGTCATTAACGCCACAAAAAAATTAAACAATAAAAATAAAAAAGAAAAGGAGAAAATAATCCTCAAGTACCTAAATTAACCTTTAACCATTTCGTCTATTTATACCCTACCATATCACCTCCATAGATGCATGCGCTTCCCAACCAACACCTCTTGCTCTTCAACACACAAATTCTACATTTCTACTGACCTTGATAACATGGCAACTGAGCAAACACAACCAACGTGGGCAGAACTGCTAGGAAGCAATGAGTGGAATGGTCTGCTTGACCCTCTTGACCTCAGCCTCAGGAAACTCATCCTGAGCCGTGGTGACATGAGCCAAGCCACTTATGATGCCTTCATCAATGATCCAAATTCCAAATACTGTGGCTACGAAGCATCAGATTACCAAATCGTCTCCTTCCTCTATGCCACTGCAACCATTGATGATGACTTTTTTGACGCCTTCATCATCAGACCTAAGTGCCCCGCCGTCCCACTCCAACGCCAGTCCAATTGGATGGGATACGTTGCTGTCACCGCCGATGAAGTCAGCAAGGCCAATGGCAGGTGTGACATTTATGTGGCGTGGCGTGGAACCGTCCAACCAATTGAACTTAAAGAAGATTTACACATTAAGCTCGTGCCTGCCACACCATTAATGTCCGGCTCGGGACGAAATGACAATTATGATGGTGGTGAGGACGACGTCGCCAAGGTCATGGAGGGTTGGCTCACAATTTGCACCCAGCAACCCGGACTCTCCATTTCCAAAAACCAGCGCGCAAACTCAAGTTCTATCGACCATCACAAAATTGATGGAAGTGTACAAGCACGAAAACGTAAGCTTGATATTCACGGGACATAGCCTAGGTGGGGCACTTGCTGCTCTAAGCGTTTTCAATGTGGTGGCAACTGGTGTAGTTCCAGTTCATGTCCAGGTAGCGGCCTTTTTGTTCGGGTGCCCAATGTTGGGGAACCAAGTGTTCTGTGACAAGCTTAAGGCTCTGCAAAACCTGCGAATCCTACATGTGAAGAACAAGCAAGATATCATCCCGGATTTACCAAGCATAATCTTTGGTTATGCATACGCAGGAATCGAGTTTGTGGTTGATAGTGCCAAGTCTCCATTCTTGAACCATTCACTTGACAACATTATTAACTTGCATAACTTGCAAGGTCGGTTACATGTAGTTGCAGGTTGGAATGGAAAGGAAGGGGAGTTTGAGCTGAAGGTGAAGAGGAGTTTGGCTCTTGTGAACAAGTTTAGTAATTTTCTCAAGGAAAAATATCAAGTTCCAGAGTATTGGTGGGTCGAAAAGAATAAAGGGATGGTGCTTGATCAAGATGGAGACTGGGTTGAGGCCAGGCCACAAGAGGACTAATTACCTGTCCCCCAATTTCGACATATGATATTTCCTGGTTCCTTTAATTCATATTCCTATTGTTGTTGCCTCCTACCTAGTATTTCAATAATGGTGATGTATGTGATATTATGTGTCCTAGGAACATCTCTGATTACTTTTTATTTGTTTACAGTTATTGTGTGTGCGTGTATGTGTGTTTGCATACAGTCAATGTAGACTAAATGCATACAGTCAATATCACATTCAACGAGTTAATACAGTCAGTGCATAATCCACGAACCTGAGTCTCTCTGATTACTTTTTATTTCAATAATGGTATATGTGTGTTTTCAACTGTTCTACATTGAGTCACTCGTTATTTTTTTTTTTTTTTTTTTTTTTTTTAAAGGAAAATTGAGTCACTTGGCTGAGCATTCACCTTTCAATTATATAGTATCATTTCAATTCATTATCAAAGCCACAAGAATATATAGCATAACTTGATTGGATCATGGTCGTGTTGATGGGTAGTATTATTTGCATAAAAAAAAACAACTTGGATCAATTTATTATATAATTTGTAGTTATTAGTGAAGCTGTCTTTTCCTTATTAATAAAATTTTAAATACTCAGAAGCTGCACATGCTATGTTAATTCCCTTCATAAGGAGAAACACTTAATTTCTTTATTTCATGACATAAAGCTCCTCTGACCTACACCAGCAGATCAGAATACATCTAAAAGAGTACAGAAACAAAAACAAAAGAAAATCATGGAAACTCAGATATTATTCGTGGATTACTCGCACCTCCCTCAATTAACTGCATAAAGAGAGAGAGAGAAAAAAAAAATCACACTTAAGTCTAAAGAACAAGCCTGGATTCTTAAGAGCCATTAGTAAGTAAAGCAATGAAGGATTTGATATATATATATATATCAAATTGCACTCTTTCATATATAAGTCATTTGTTTTTTTGTTTCAAGCTAAAGTTTGCGATCGAACTGTGATTACTAATTTCCGAATGATGGTGACGACAAGTGGAAAAGATCCAACAATGGAGACCATCAGATTTAGACCAGACAAACACCGGTTCTGTTTTCATATTAAAAAATTCTCTCACTTTACATTTTGATTTTTCTGTTTTTAGATCTATGATTTTGAGCACACTGCATCTAAAAAATCACATTGGACTGAGATATAGTGTCTCTCTTTATTTTTCAATCACTCAAAATGCAATATTATTATTATTATTATTATTTTAGATAAGTGGGTAAGCTTTGATTAAATAAAATAAAAATGTACATGAGGTCCCAACTAGGACATTACAGACAAGATCACAGACAACAAAGGTTGTCCCAAAATCAACAACAAAACAACACAGTACAAATGACACAACATAAACCAGATACAACAAAAAGCAAAGACCAACATATAGTCTGAAAGATAACCTTTAAACCAGCACCAGAAACTAGTGAATAGTAGGTACTTCAAACAGCAAGATACCCCAACAACAGGAACTTCAAACATGGAGATGCAATCAGCCAAAAACAATCAGGTATTGAAAAACAGCAAGCTTGTGCAGAAGCAACAAACAAAAGCAACATTAGACACAACATTCCATCATGCAGGTGTAAACTAATCCATAATAAACCAAAGGTGGCCCCCAGCAGATGAGCAACCCGGCAAAAATAATTGATGAAGACCAGCCAGAGAGTCTATCCTCCTTAGCTCATTGCCAGTTCTCAGTATAATTGTAGCAAATCTAGCTCAAACGGTACTTTTGATGAGTGATATGGTACACTGTGGGGGTGAAGAGGTGTTCCTGAATGCTCTTGCATTCCTCTCCTGCCATATGAAATATATTGCTGCAGCAAGAGTTTGTGGGTGATGAAGCATGCATCTTGTTGTCCAATTACAACTACACAAAATAATTGACTCATGCCAGCTGAAAGGTTGCAAAGAGAAACCAGCTGTTTGCTGGACAAAATCCCATATAATAGAACTGTATGTACACTTAAAAAATAGATGATCAAAGGACTCCCAATCTGACAGGCAGAGGTAACAAGCATTTGTGTAATGCTTGCTAAGCATTGGCTTGGTGTCTAAGGTGTACAACCTTTTCCTCATTGCCAGCCATGCAATGGGGTTGTGCTTTGGGATATGGTGCTTGACCAAAGTATGTGGTGCCAAGGAAAAGCTTTGGAGGGAGGAATAAAGTAATCCCTGGTATGTTTCTGTGAGAAACCTCTTGTGGGACAAGGAAGCCAGTCCACCAAGTCAGGAGCTGTTGAGGGGGTTGGAAGAGAATGTAACTGATCTATGAAGGAATGAGACTATAGGAAAGGAATGTGATGAAGATGAGGTGGCAAGACCCAATGATTGTTGGAAATTAGACTATCAACTGAGACATGTGTCCAGTTGAAGAATTTCCACATCATTAAGGTCCAATTGCAATATTTTTTTCCAAAAATAATAAAAAATCAAATTGCTCTCTTCTTTCAAGGACCGCATAGCGGAATATGTAATCTATTGTCACCAATTTTCAAAAATATAATTTTGTTTAACGATATTTTTGTATGAATATAACGAATAGTAATATTATTTTGGCCTAAAATAATCTTATGGGGAAAAAAAATTGAATAAACAAAATATTGATTAAACACATTTGTTTTATGCTACTACACCATTGGTTTCAGCCAATCATCATTTAGCAGTTACTCAAATTATTGAATAAACACTTTGTTTAGATGGCAAATGGTGATTGATCCGAGACCATGTAATAATTTCTTGAAGTACAAATTTTTTTTTTAATATTATCTGACTTTATGAAAAGAAAAAAAAAAATGAATGAATAAAATAATTAACTCTACAACTGTCCCAATTTTTTTTTTCTTCATAAATTTAATATAGGAAAAGAAAAAATATATTTCCATTCCACTTTCATTCAATTGTAACTCTAATAAATAAAATGGGTATTGGGAAGTAGAGTATCAACTAGCCTCAAGGGAATATCCTAAAAAAAATTATAAAAAAAAAAAATAACGAAGGAGAAAAAAAAAAAAAAAAAAAAGGATATAGCTAGTATCAACTCAAAAAATTTGTTTCATTATAAGTATTTGACATTAGGATTTCCCTAGCAATTACGAAGCTTAAAATGCCCTCAAATTTTCATTAATATGCCGTGCTTGCATATTCTATTATTGCTAAATCCATTTCAGAGAGAACCTTCAAATATCACTGGAGATGTAAGGACCTAGCCATCTCCCATGCAGATGATTTACCACTGTTTTCACATGGAAGTCTTGATTCAATTAACACACTGAAGCATGCCAACACTTATTTCTCTGGGCTCCATATCAACAATGGTAAAAGTCAATTTTTATTGTCTAGTGTAAGTGCCCAATTGGAGTCAAATATCCTTAATCTTCTTGGATTTGACAAAGGCATCCTACCTGTGAGAAACCTTGGGGTTCCCTTTGTTACCTCAATGCTCAGAGCCAAAGACTGCAGATCCCTCATTGATAAAATTACAGCAAGAATTGGCCATTGGACAAGCAAGAGTCTATCCTTTGCAGGAAGACTCCAACTCATCAGGGCAGTGTTATACTCAACTCAGATGTACTAGAGCTCTAAGTTTATTCTACCAATGGCAATCATTCATGAACTTGAAAGTATTTTTGGAGCTTTTCTTTGGTCAGGTCCTTCATTGAAGAGGACATGTGCTAAAATGGCTTGGGACAAATGTTATCTTCCAAAAAGGGTGGGCGGGCTGGGACACAACTGGAATGAATATGCAATTATGAAACACCTTTGGCACATAATCTATGCTAAGGATATGCTTTGGGTGAAATGGATTCACAATTATCTACTGAAGGGAAGAAGTGTTCCGGAAGTAAAGGTACCTGGACAGTACTCTAAGAACTGGAAAAGACTGCTGAACCTAAGACAATCCATGCAGCCTCTTGTTAAACTTGAAATTGGTGATGGTTCCATATCTAATTTTTGGTTTGACAAGCGGTGTTCTCTTGGACCACTTCACCTACTTGTTACACACCAACAGTTGCTGGATTCAAGTTTTGATACGAAAACAAAATTGAGCGCCTTCATAACCTCCAGTACATGGTCCTTTCCATCCACCATCACCACCTTATTACCACAGTTTTATTGCACAACAACCTTACCTACCCCCAAACCAAACTACAAAGACAAGTTTTTATGGATTCCTTCTTCCTCTGGTGTATTCTCCATCTCCAAAACACTAAAACATTTCAACAAAAACCTTGCCACTTTACCATGGACTCACCTTGTATGGTCAAAACCATTTACACCAGAACACTCATTCACTCTGTGGGTTGCAATCCAGAAAAGACTCCCAACATTGAATAGGAGATGTACATCTCATATCAATTCATCCACATGTGTTCTCTGCAGCACCGAATTGGAGTCCTATGATCACTTATTCTTCAAGTGTTCCTTTTTCAAGCCCTTGTGGTCATTTATTCAAGCACGATGTGGATTTCATATACAACCATCATCTTAGAGGGACCTCACTGTTTGGGCTTCCCATCATTGGCGTGGTGTCTCTGATTTTCACTATTACTTTGTCTCCAAAATGAGTTTGGCATCTCTTGTCTATTATGTTTGGAATGAGAGGAACCGCAGGATATTTCAGAAGAAAGCTGCTTCACCCAACTCAATCCTTCGATCATCTCACACTCGAATCAGTCAGAGCTAAGCTTCTCATCTCTTCAATCATTGATTCCCTAAACTCTAGAAGAATTTCACTTGAATGGGATATCCCAGAATCAGTTATCCGTCCTCCAGAGAAACCACCAGACTAGGGACTCAAATTGCATTCGTCGGAAGAATCTCCCTTGTTCACCGGATCTAACTGCTGGCTTGTAAAGGTCATGTGCTTTGTTGGGCTGCATGAGCTGTTCCATGGTTAATTTGTGGCTTTTGGGCCTGCTTTGTATTTGGGCTGTGGCTCTATAATTAGCACTGTGCTAGCTCTTAGACTGATGTACTGTTTTATTTG